GGTAAGGAGCATCCCCAACACACTTACCAGCATGAACAACCTTGCGCTTGTGCTCTATAGCCAAGGGAAGTACGAGGAGGCCGAGCAGATACATCGGCAGACGCTACAGCTACGTGAGAAGGTGTTGGGTAAGGAGCATCCCGACACACTTACGAGCATGAACAACCTTGCGCTTGTGCTCAATAGCCAGGGGAAGTACGAGGAGGCCGAGCAGATGCATCGGCAGACGCTACAGCTACGTGAGAAGGTGTTGGGTAAGGAGCATCCCAACACACTTACGAGCATGAACGACCTTGCGCTTGTGCTCTATAGCCAGGGGAAGTACGAGGAGGCCGCGAAGATGCATCGGCAGACGCTACAGCTATCTGAGAAGGTGTTGGGTAAGGAGCATCCCGACACACTTACGAGTATGAACAACCTTGCGCTTGTGCTCAATAGCCAGGGGAAGTACGAGGAGGCCGAGCAGATGCATCGGCAGACGCTACAGCTACGTGAGAAGGTGTTGGGTAAGGAGCATCCATACACACTTACCAGCATGAACGACCTTGCGAGTGTGCTCAATAGCCAGGGGAAGTACGAGGAGGCCGAGCAGATACATCGGCAGACGCTACAGCTACGTGAGAAGGTGTTGGGTAAGGAGCATCCCGACACACTTACGAGCATGAACGACCTTGCGCTTGTGCTCAATAGCCAGGGGAAGTACGAGGAGGCCGAGCAGATACATCGGCAGGAGCTACAGCTATCTGAGAAGGTGTTGGGTAAGGAGCATCCCGGCACACTTACCAGCATGAACAACCTTGCGAGTGTGCTCAATAGCCAGGGGAAGTACGAGGAGGCCGAGCAGATACATCGGCAGACGCTACAGCTACGTGAGAAGGTGTTGGGCAAGGAGCATCCTGACACACTTACCAGCATGAACAACCTCGCGAGTGTGCTCAATAGCCAGGGGAAGTACGAGGAGGCCGAGCAGATGCATCGGCAGACGCTACAGCTACAAGAGAAGGTGTTGGGTAAGGAGCATCCCGGCACACTTGTGTAAGAAAGTCGTGCGGTATGTTTGAGAGTGTTAAGTTTTCTATTCCAAGTATAAAGCACATTCGTTTGTTGCTTTACTCGCTCTTTTATATTCTGTCATGTTTTCTTTTCATCTCGTGCCACAAGAAAGGTCTCGGAGGACGAGTTACTATTAGGTCGTTTATTGTTGAAATACAGCACTTATTTGTGTATTTCATAGTATGTTTTTGTTTGTGTATCCGAATCCTCATACGAAAGAACCCGGACCTTCGGAGAACACGGACATCATCGGTGGCCTGGGACCTTGGAAACCATGGACATCATCGATAGCCCGGAACTACGGAAACTGCGGCAGTGAAGGAATTGGAGGAAGCAAACACGGGGACTGGATGCTTATAACAGGCTCCTCTTGCAGCACATTCGAAGTATTCTGTTTTCTCTCTTGTTAAATCAAGCTATCAAGTCAAGGTTAATATACTGGTTTTCTACACTCTCTTTCAGAGCATAGTCCTCTGTTATTAAGTTCCTACCATCTTATTCACAGTTCCCTATATCTTCCTCCTTACAGGGCACAGTTCCCTATATTTATCTTCCTTCAGTAGCATTGCACACCGTCGTACAGCGCAGTCCAAGGAACCCTAGAGTTCTCAGGTTGTTGCTTCCACTTACTCGGCAGGACCTATTTAACTGGCCTGCCAGAGTTATAAGTCATAACATTTATTTTAGCATCTGGAGGTGGCCAGGGTCTACCCGAATGCTCCTTGTTGAGCAACCTTGAGGTGGGGAACCATCCACTCCCGTGCATCGTAACATCGGGCGGTACTTGTTAATAGATAACATTCGCAAGTGCTCCGAATTTATACAGCTCCAAGGCCAGCCCCATCATAGCTTCAATTCGTGAATGCTGCATATTCCTCCGTGTCGAGGACCCAGTTGTATGCCTCGTCGAGCAGCACGTCCTTCTTTTTCCGAATCTTCCTATGTCGTCCTGAGGATCTACCACGAAGAGGTCTTGGAGGTACCCTTCGTCGTTGTCAGTTTTGATGTGAGCAATAAGCTCTCGGATGTCCTAAATGATATCCCCGAGTGGCTTTTCCATTGCTTTGGCAGGCTTGACGAGTTAGCCCAATGCCTCCTTCGCCTGGAGCTTGTTGTACTGGTCCGAATCCCTCTGCAGGGCATCTTCCGCATCCGTGACAGCCTTCAGGGCGGCGTCCCAGTCGTCCCAGTTGGCAAGGCCACAGAGAAAAACGAGACCCTGGTGGCGGTAGTAGGAGCAGATGCTTTTTATCAGGTATGGGAGGAGGGCCTTGTAAAGCGCGACGATCCTCGCCTTTAGCTGGGGCAGGATCGATTCTAAAGACTCGTCGATGTGATCCTTCTCCAGGAGATATTCGGACGGGGCGTAATACCAATCCATTCTAGAGATAATGTGGGCGGTACCGGCAAGGTTGGTTCTTGTTGCTCTTAGCTGTAGCCCAAGGAAAACACCGGTCCCTGGAAGCGCAGCCGATGCAGCTTGTGGCACGCTTTGGAGTACTAAGTCAACCATTGCCTCAGCGGATAGGACGAAACCAGCGAGGTCGCCAACCCCGGTACTTATCCTGGAAGCCTTGGATATTTTCTGTTGATCCTTTTCAACCAACTCCCTCTATGTGCTTTTGTCGCGCGATTAGATCCTTCAGTTTGGCTCGGGGGTCGGCTGTGGAGGGCTTATCGGTCTGGCCGCCGAGAACTTTTTCCAGAATTTTCCCGTAGGACCCAACAAGATCTATATCCTCCAACTCAAGGCTGTCGTACGCGGCGTTCTATAGCCTCTCGGATGTGGAAATGGCAGGGGTTGGTTGCTGTAATGGCACTTGCGCGCAGCGCCCTAGTACCATCACCATATGTACACCACTGATCTGAGTCAAGCCGGTAAGCTTAACTCACCTGTAGCTTTTGATAGGAATCATAGTTGGTTTGGTGCAGTGGTCCTGCCTACCGTGACAGTTGCTCTGTAAACTCGGTTGTTGTTGACTTGTATCGGGGCTCGCCGGGAAGATGGGCTTTTTGAACCACCCGCTGCCCCAGTTCGACATGTTTTCGGTAGAGATTACTTGAATAACGATACTTGCCGGGAAGAGGGATGCTATAGTAACAGCAGCGACGACGAAATTTAACAGTGGCATTCTACGCGATTTTGCCATACGACGAACACCCACCTACCTATAAGGCGGAAGAAACCAATGTTGTGGTATCCGCTACGGATCGTTCAGGGCGGGCTCTTATTAAGCGGTTTGATGAACTGGACATCCAGTGGGATACCCTGGAGAGGCAGCTCCAGACATGATGTAGACTGTGTCGTACCGGGAAGAGGCTCAGAATTCAGATGTCGTTTAAATACGTCGATGCCAGTCGGTCGCGGAATACGACAACGCGGCGGGGTCCCAAGCGAGTGTTTTCGTCCATCTCTGAACAGATGCTCTCCGAGCGAGCTATGCAGCTTGATTCCGAAGAAGCCCCCAGCCAGCCATCCATTTGGCATGAAGTGTATAATCTGACGCGATGCCCAGGGCCGTCCTGCCACCTAGGACCATACTGCTGGCGTAACTATTGGAAACAGGCGCTACAAGTTGAAGACTTGCCACCTAAGAAGCCTCATTGAATGCATATTTTCTTGCCACAGCCACTTCTGGTTGACGATCATTGTAATCTCCGTTGGTGTAATACTGTGTATATCCTGCCGGGTACACAAGCGCGTGTGAGAGCACACGGTGTGGATGGTTAGATGCACAAATGGTCCGTCAGTGTCAGGCCAGTGCTGTGACAATAAATATTATAATAACGCTTTAAACCTCTTTTATAATTATTAAATTAAAGGGCGAACAAATAACGACGGAGGTAAAAATATAATCGCTAAAAAGATATTAATATTCAGCGATAGCGTGCAGGTAATTACGGTAAAGATTAACCTATATACTATCGGAATTAAGGTAGTTTATAACGTTACAATAATAATTAATGCTTCATTAAATATAAACCGCAAAGTATACTACTTAACTTATAAGTTCTATCGCTACTAGAGTTGGATATAATTATCTTCGACCCTAAGGCTAAGCTTTCGCGGGTAGGAGGAAACTACGCCGGTAGCTTGGGGGCCCTACTAAGCGTGACGACGTTTAGCATCCAGATCAACTATCGTAGGAGCAGCGCAGGTCGTGGGAATAGCGTAAGTTGTAGGAAGGGGCACAGGGACGACGAGCAGGTGTGAGCGGGAAAGTAAAGTATTAATCAAAGCGCGCAAGGACAGCGACAGGTAGGAGCGGGGAAGATAAGTATTGTCAGTCAAACAAGAGCCAAAAATACCGCACTGCCCTCTATCGGGCCAGAAATATGCCGGTTATAATGGGAGGCTGCGGCGTGAGATCAAGAGGGGTAAAGCCAACAAGACAGTGCGGTCAGTTACAATTACAGAAAATAGTGGTGTTAAGCCTTTTGCAGAAACTAAAAACCTTTAGGTACTAACTCAGTGGAAAAGTAGGGCAAAAGTCATCCCGGAAGATAACATTGCGATCAACTATTTAACTAGAAGAGCGGATGGGATCCCGTATTTTCAGTTGTCTATGGTCGTATGTGACGGTCTGGGCTTCAGTTATACCTTCCGCCAGAATCTGGTGAAGGTTCAGCTGAGAAAGGGGATTTCTTGGAATTGGGAAATGATTAGCAGCTTTCGTGGATAGAAGTTCAGTGTTCAGGTTGTATCCAGTTGGAACAGACTATCGGAGCATCTTTGGCTCCTTCCCAAGCTCGGGTGCAGGTTTTTGGCTCGATGCTTCAACCTACCAGTATCTCTGCAATCTTTCTTCGGGAACAGTTTGCTGGTCCATCTGTGACAGATTGCAATGCACGCCCGTGGTGATGTTAGTCTGATGACCTGCCGAAGCTGTTCACCCTTCGAGCATGCTACCGTTGTCGAGATCATCACCAACCCCGGAGTTATCCTCCCGCATGCGTACCTCCCCCTACGAACAACTCCGGACCAAACCTCCTTACTTACCCACATCGAACGTAGGCCACTCCTTCAGTTGTGCAACCTCCGTTAGCGGGTGGCTTTCGCACACTAAACGCCTCAGCCCTACCTATCTGACGTGTGCAACAGTAAGTACCATACACATCAAGACGCCCCTTTTCTCCCAGCTATTATCCTTCCAAAACCACAAGCAGCTAAGTGCGAGGTCACCACTCGGCCTTTTCCGTGTGGATGTTGCCGCTAAACTACCGTCAACGGCGCAATAAACGTCCCACAACATATGCGGACCCGATCCCTCTCCCTCATCGTCCATCTGACTGATTGATATCTGACAGAATTTCGGTGCCACAAATTTTGAACCAACGAGCCGGGTCAGGTCGTACACATCCCCAAGTCCACAGCTAATTCGCCGACATTTTTCTCCAATCACTTCAAAGCAAAAGCAGGAGCAAGGTAAAGGACAAGTAGTAAGTCAATGTAAATTTTGTCAATTCTTTCGTCAAAGTTCTCCCCCTGACTATGGCAGGCCTAACCCCACCCCCTATTCCCATCCCTTGCCGAGTGAGCTCATGTCTCACTCTTACCCATCCGACCCTTTCGCAGCCCACCATGATGTAAGCAGCCTCCCTGCCCGAGTTCTTTCCCTGCCCCATAGATGCTTTTGATGATTCAATTCCGTATGCAAGAAAGCAATTGATAGCCAAAACCTGAAACCCCAAAAAGAAAAAGAAAATGTACAATTGCCCCAGCTACAAAGTAAAAAATGAAGGGAGAAAATATCTGGTATCTTTGATAGCGCACTGTTGGTGATAGCCTTCCTCTCCATGTTTTATGGGTATATAGGTAGAACGGCCCTGACGACATTATAGCTTTTCCCCTGAAAATATAGTAGTCCTCAACGCCTGGCGTGAGTGTGATGGTGATGGTGATGTTAAATTACAGGAATAGAAGAATGAAATAGGTCTGGTAAAAAAATGTGATAGGGTAAAACAATGTGCATTGAAGTGAAAAGGGTCAAAAGGAATGTTAAAAGGGGGTATCAAAGAAGATGAGTATGTGTTGGGTAAAAGATTGTATGCGGGTCGGTCGTAGCATCGTTACTCAAATGAGCATGAGATCGTGTAATGCCAAAAAATAAGAAAATAAAGCAGAAATTAGGGCTTGAACACCGCGTTGGTCAGAAAGAATTCTTCGCTGGCGGGTGTTGGCGTCACGATGGGTGATGTCGACGCAGTTGAGCAAGTAGTCGTGGTGGGAGGGGTTGAAGAGGAAGAAAGAGAGGACGAGGAGGTCTTGGACTCGAGTTTGGAGAAAGGGATAGCCATCCTGGCAGGAGAACTGCTCTTCAGGAACATCTGGCTGCCCCGAGTGCGATTCCACTTTTTCCTCTCGACATCAGAGACTGGGTCCTCCTTCGCCACGGACACTGCAGGCTCCTCCTTTACCACGGACACCACTGGCTCCTCCTTCGCAACGGCCTCTGTCCCACCCATGTTGCTAATCGTTTGCTCAACGTCGGCAAGGAGGGCATACACGTCATTGTCAGCGTAGATGCGAATCGTCTCCGCCCTTTTCAGGGTCGTGACAGACTCCCCAGTCTTCTCTTTGGCCGCCGCAGTCTCCTCGGTCAAGGGATCCTCCATGATGGTTGAAGGAACTTGAGCTACCACTCGCTGAGGAGAGGAGGAAGGCGGAGAGGAAGGCGAGGTTTGTGTGAAGGCAGTCTTCGTGGGGCTTCTCGGAGGAGTTGACATGCTGGTCGGGCAATTCAGGGGGCGAACTCCCATAGCGAGCTGCAGAGACTCGCTCACACTAGCAACGCCCGTGGGTGGGACGGCCAGGGTGGCTGCGGCGGCGACGTGCTCCAGAAGCTTCTGGCGGACCCGCATGCGCCGGTTCTCAGCGTGTTCGAGTTTGGTAACCCAGTCATCAATCGAAGCGTCAAGCTCAGCAAGGGCTTCCTCTTGCTTCAGCATCGAGTCGTGACTGAACTTGGCCGTCCGGGGTGATCGCAGATATTGGCAGATCCGAGTGTGTAGGTTGCGTCGTCCAGCACGAAGCGAGGTGTAGGTACGGCGAAGGTATTCAGTGCGCTCATCAAGCTGACGAAGTTCTCTAGAGAGATTGTCGACGTCATCTTTTCTTAGTACCTCAAACCTAGCCGCCTGCTGAAGAGCTTGCTTGTGTAAAGCAGCTGCCTCAACAGGGCTAAGCATGTTGACCGCATCACTTGCCTTCCACCCTTTGGGTAGTTGCTCAAATGCTCGTCGCTCCGCACTGGAGCTTCTCTTGGATTCTCCTCGCCGCGACATAGCGCGAAGAGTGAGATCCGACCGCTTCCGCGGCCGACCTCTCTCCATGATACTTCCTGTATCCGACACATTTCTGGTATGGCCTTGGGAAACTTGTGGTGTTTCGTCATTGGGTTCGGCCTTTGGCGTGGCCGAGGGATCCGGTGAGCCTTCTTTGGGGGTCCCGACAAGCGCATAGTTCGTAACACGTTCCCATGGTCTGGGTGATGATCGATGCTCGATGGGAGCGGACATGGGAGCGGATACAGGTGTGGGGAGCGTCGAGTTGGTCATGGCGGTAGTGGCGGCCGATGCAGGTGTCAAGGCAGCTGAACAGGGGGTGAAGGGAGTCTTGATTCTTGGGGAGTCATCCGTCCTCGCCGACCGTAGTGGCATGTCCACAGGTGTGCTGCCCGATCGAAGCCGATTGAGTGAGGCCTGTTGTGTTAAACGAGGAACTGCTGATGTTGAAGCTGGAATAACCAGAGGCGTGAGACTTTTTGGCGATAATGGTTGCCGGAGTTCTCCGTGGCTCCTAAATCCACCTCGAAGTTCGTGTTTTTGTTCCGGAGATTGCTCCAACGTTGGTGACAGGAAGTCGACCATCTGGTTCTGCTTCCACGATGCTCCCGGTGCGCTAATCGAGCGCTCATGGAAAGGTGGTCGGCCTGGAATCGTGGCTATGGTGGGGTTAGTCCAAGCACATGAAAGCACTCGTGTTGGTTGGGAATGGTAACATACGGGAATCCATGGCCACTTCTTGTACGGTTGTCATAGGTCCCAAATCCGGGACGCTAACCTTTCGTCTGCGGATGAGGTTGTGTTCCTTGATCCGTATCCTGAGCCCTGCCGCGGCAGGAGTTTTTTCGCCCTTCTCCCCGTTTTGTAACATGGCCAACGCAAACGCTTGCTCGGGGTCCAGAGCCTTCCCAGGGCAAGTAGCTACTTGCCTCTCTTTAGGGAAGAGCTGGTATTTCCTCTCTGTCGTCTGCTGCATTCTCCACGCAAATGGTTTGATCTCACCAGATGAGGTAGTGTTTAGCTGTGTCTCGACGTGTAAGCTCACAGCCAATGCCACGACAAGGGAGGGAATTATGTTTGGGGGTTAAAGTGGCTGCATACCGAATCATTGGAAGCTTGCGGGGTGACTGCTTTTGATATAGTGTTGAGGCTAAGTGAAAGGTCGTCCGAGTCGGAACCAGAACCGCCCAAGCAGTTGGCAATGTGAGCCATTGGTGTGGTGTGAACGCAAAGCCGAATCTGTGTAAGAGGTATATAGTCGCACTGGCCCGGAGGATGTGATCCAGTTAAGGGCCAGGAAATGTTCTAAGCTTCCCGTGTCTGTCGACCGGTTGATAGGCTGGAGGAGTTGACGGTATGTATGCACTTGTTTTCTCCAACCAGGACGCCCCCGAGTTCTTAAGAGTCTGATAGAAATTCGAGACCGGACAGGCCCCCCAAAGTGGATAACAAACCCCAGGCCCTGCTCACCAGGGGCAAAGAGTTGAATCGTGTGTGACAAGGAAAGACAGGCAGAGCGCAGTGCACGGAGATGAGGGTTGGCACATGGCAACCCCATATCTTTGCGGTGGGGGTGCACAGTACAGAAAGCTGCCAGGACAAGACCTGCCAGTGAGGACCCCTTGCCTCGACATCTTTGGTGATTTCTCCCAGAGGTACCTCTGCGGCCTGGACACGAGAGAGGCACCGGGGGAAAGGGGCCTGAGACAAGCCATCGTTGTTGTCGCGCCCCGGTAGCTATCCGAGCTGTTGAGAATTGGGGGGTACACAACGCACAACGGCGTCCGAGGCGAGCAGTCGGGTATCCAGGACCCTGGCTTGACAGCTCAAAGCGGAAAAGCCGCCGTCGAGATACATGATGAGACATGCCCAGAAGAAGAGAAAAAGCTGCTGCAAGAGGCAAAGAGTGATGAAACCGCTTAGACCAGTTCAGGGCCGACCGAGCATCCCTGCTAGGAAGACAGGGGGCTTCCACCGCAGCCCCACCACCCAGGCATCTCGCCGCAACCCAAGACTGGACGTGCCTGTCCATATCTGGCCGCCGCTATGAACTACTCCTCCACAGATATCTTCCAGCAGACCAATGGGTGACCCATGGCTAAATGAAGGGACGTTGGTAGAGCTGGGGTGCAGCATCTGAGAGTGCAGCATGTGCGGAATAGCCAGCACGGCATCAATGTCGACGCAAACCTTCCGTGCTCTGAAGAGACGGAATAAAATAAAGAAAGAGAGGGCAGAGCCAGAAGAAAGCAGTGGCCGGAAAATGTCCTGAAAGTTTCATGGATATCTGAGCTTTGCAGTTGACGTTCATGCCGATTACCTGCTGGTTTCAGAAGAGGAGCTCCCGTCTTCAGTGTCCGGCTGTTGCGGATCGATACCGAAAAGGTTGAATCGGCAGTCTTGTTGAAGATGGATGCAGAACCTGGTATCATCCCTTCTCCTCAACGACCCCGCAATCAGAGGCTTGGGAGCTCATCGGAGACGGGAACGCGATAGAACCCCTCTTCATAACCCAGTGCCTACCCAGTAGTTGGCCTAGCTTGAGAGCGGGAGGCAACATGACATCCAGCCCGTGGATATGTCGGTTCTGAGGGTCCTTGCAACGACGCCGGGTCAGTGGTTGCTCAGGAAGATATCCCGATACCGCTCCTACTTCTGCTCGACACGATTCTTCAGGGCCTCTCTACGAGTGGGCATACATGGTGAGATTATGAAGATTGTAACATCGCGCTGGTCAGGGTGATGGGCTAGGCCGATGCTTGATGGCTCGCACGGACCTCTCAACTTTGCGATGCTGTAACTAAACAGCTGATTGGTGGGCTGGTGCATGAAGGAGTCGTAGGGACTGGAAAGGTGAATGAAGAAGCCTGCTTGAGGCGTCTGAGAGCGGCTGTATCCTGTGATCGGTTGCGTAAGAAGAGGAACAAGCGCGAGATTCGCAATCGCTTCGCGGCAATCCCACGTTAACGGTTGTTGCGCCTCAGATCGACGTCCAGCTCACCAGTGTCATCTAAACTGGCACCTTCCCGGCAGGGCAACGGTAGTTGATGGCGCCGGCGATATGGGGACGGAGCCATCCGCGTGAGCTCAGGCATTCTCTTGGTGTGACGGAGTCGAGGATGGACGTTGGCAGTGGGGTCCTGTTCGAACCATGATCCATCTCGAGGACAAACAACTGCCCCACTATGCGGTCCGATAATTGCTTCACGTTGGGCGGGAGGGCATGAAGCCGGTGGCAAGATCGAAGACATCACTGAATGAATCACTGTAGTGTATCATGGAACTTGTTTCTGCTCGAACCTGGCAGAAATTGGCCACTGTCATGCGTCCAAAAATGGAAGATCTTGAAGTTGAATGACACTCCATGGCAGGCAGCATGGAAGTGAGGGGTAAGGTGAATTGCGGGACGTTACTAGCGGCGTTCGTAAAAGGAAGTCAACTCAACACCACCACCAGCAAAATAACCTACTTCGTGAGCTCTGGCCGCCGCCGCTAATCATAGAAATCAGTTCTCTTGCTCGTTATTTCCACGTGGCGGATTCGATCTTCGTTTGCGGCATGTTCTAGTCATGATCCAGGCCTTCTTCCTGCTTGGCTTTTAACGGCCGTCAGAGAAGCAGAGAACCTCATCTTCGAATCCGCCCTGCCCAGAGACGCCGCCTTTGCAACAGCAGGACAAGCCGCTAACTTGTCAATGCGCTTCATGACTCCAGCCTAATTCAGGATGGTCGAGAACAGACCTTGGAAGGCCATGTGCCTCAAGACAGACACAGCTAAACCTTGTGGACCACACATTCTTGACCATATTGACAAAGGGGACTGACACATGTGCGTTGCATGCAGATACCTATCTACATACACATCAACAACCCATCTCTTCCCTCGTTGGCAACGCGTAGACATCACGAGTACTCATCTTCGACATACAAGCGAGCTGTCCACAAAACACCTTCAGTAGGATATATTCTCTCGACACTTTCTCTAGCTTAATGATCAATTCCTCCTCTCAGCCTCGACATCACGCAGCATGGTAGCTGGGCTTGGCGGTTCATCTGATCTTTAGAGTCGCAATACTCCGACTGCAATGCGAGATGTCTGTACAGACTGGTTTCTCGCGTCACGCAAGACGATCACAGCGCTAATGGATACATCTACCAGATTTTTGATGAAGCTGGATCTCTTGGTAGTGGTTCTGCAGAGTGATGGTATTTCCAACTTTGCCGGGCATCGCAGCGTGGGGGACGGCACTGTTAGTGAGAGGCAGATGAAGAAAGTGAGCGTTCCCCCTGTCATTTCATTTGGATGCTGCAATGCTGCAGGTTGATCGACGTTGGTCACCCGGTTTCTGCTATCACTTTTTTTGGGTCTCAAGTCGTTTTTCTTGCATGCTTATGTTGCATTCACCACCATCACCCTGCATTAAATGTTGCTTTCGAGCTCTCTTTACTACAGCAACAACCCTGACCCTTCTGGCGGTGAGCATTTGAAGTCACAATCACTCAAATTACCCTGCGGGTTGCAGAGCCACGAGAGAGCACCAAGAGCTTGCAGAAGCGCTGTTTCTTGCCATATTCACGACTTTATACAGCTTATACGAGCCATGTAGCGTTGACAAACGGACGGTACTCGGAATCAAACAAACCAACATCATTCAGTTTCCACCAGTACCTACTGGCAAGGGCAAAGGGTATAAGTGGAGCGATCAGGTATGGCCCATGGCGCACTGGAACCCATCAGCATCTGATATTTGAACTGGCAAGGTGCTGTCCAATCCTTTGTATTAGCATGCTACATTTACCTTACTCACCGGCCACACCTTAGACCTTTTCTACAGACAATTGTGGAATACATGAGAGCTATCGACAGGGCATTATTTTGCTGTGGTGTTTTCGTACACTGATACCTACCTACACAAGTGAGTACATCTAACGGTCAGCAAATCCTTTCCTCATCGGGACAGCTGGGCTAACCGACCGCGGCAAAGTCTTGCCTAACTCGGGGGGTTACTCAACCCCTGAAAAGATTTTGGCTGTGGATCTTCTGAAGCCGCGATCTCTCCGAGATCCTCAGGGATCATGTTCTTATGTCACATACTTAAGGACAGGGGGCCGCGCTCGGTCTCGACAATCCACAGAATGTTGCTCCGATGCTCGCGGGGCTGGATGCTGTTGCTCCAAAGCAAGCCACCGAGTCTACGCGCGATGAAGCGCACGCCAGACCAACAGTAAGTAAACACATTCAGAAGCTTGAGCTATCGTATAACAACTCCAAGACATTTACCCCGAAAAATATCAGAAACAAAGCATGCAGGTCAAACTCGGCAGAAACGAAACAAGGACCCAAGCTTTTCGGAAGCGGGGCAACGAGGTTGAGAAACACTGTTTCATCCAGGATGTGCTAGAGACTGGGGCTATCATTGGTCAAGTGGCCAGAGTAGCTCAACTACCACCACCCCTTCTCTCGTCCTGATATCCTATTCATGAATAGCCTCATAGGCTTGAACGGCGCCATTGACGAGGCAAAGCAAAATCCAGGTAGCTTTGCACGGGATCAACGCGGTTTGATATCATCCCCTTGGTCTAGTCCGAGCCTTCGTCTCAATCAAGGACGGGAAGGGAGCACTTTGCGGGAAATGGATGCCCTCTTCAGTCGGTCTTCGGGCTGGGAAAAGAGCAAGAGGTGCAATCTTTGAAGCAACGCACAGGTCAAGCGATGCAAGCACTCAAAGTCCGCAATTTCTCTGCCGTCCATGGCTATAGAGATCGCAAGGCCGTGCGCACTCGTCGACTTCACAAAGCAGCGCACAATATCAGGGTGAGGGAGCAAAGTGAGGAGGATGTCTCGGTAGCATTGTGACGCCCATCACTTTCCCACAATGTGTATCTGCTTGATCATGCTGTAGGGCAGGCGTTATCTCCCTTTTCTGCCCAAACTCCGTGGGCTTTTCGTTACCCCTGTTTCCAATCGTACGATTTT